TTATTTGCTGGAGTGGCCTCTCCAGGGGCGGGTGTGGATAGAGGAAGGAAGCCAGGAGGTGCCCAAGCAGCTGGCTGGTGAGACTGGTCTTCATCTGGCCTCTACCCGTTGACCTTTCAGGCATGAGTGGATCTACGGTTGTGAGAAGCCATCCTGTATAGCTCGCAGGGTCACTGAGGCGCGCAAGCCATCACACCACGTCAAGGTGCAGTCTCGTCGTGATGGGTTGTATGCAACACTGCAAATCGTACTGAAGTATTCTCTTCGAATCCGACAACGCATTAGTTAGCACCAAGATGTGCATGTGCTTCGGTGGGCGTTCTAAAAGTACGACACATCGGTGGTTAGACTGCGATAAGTTGTCTCAACCAGGATGCTTAGCCATCTTTCAAAACGCGCTGGCTGAAAAGCTAGAACCAACCCTACCTGATAACACCAGTGAGCACTGGTCGCTTAGCAAGAATGCTCTGCATTCTGCTGGCTTAGTTAGTTGTGACCTGACACGCCGTGTCGTGACACCCTGGATTTCTGCTGAGTGTCTGCGCCTTCTTGACGCACATCGGTTACTTCTAACCGGCAGCGAGCACAACGTAACACGGCTGTAGTGAGACATGAATTTAACGTAAGCCTACGCAGAGATCGCGAAATCTGGTGGTCTCAACGCGCGTCGGAAATGGAACGTGCTGCCGCCATGGGAAATTCCCGTAAGTTGTTCCATCTCATCCGAGTTACCGGTAGGAAAACTTCCGGAGAGCGAAACGATCTATGAAGCTGACGGTTCGCTTATTCACAATCAACAGCGACGTCTTGAACGCTGGAGGGAGCACTTCAAAACATAGTTAAGCTGGCCACCAACGTCAACTTCTCACACAGCTATTCCCGCACACGTCTCATGGTCTATATCAACAGACCCACTCTCTGAGGCCGAAATCCTTAAGGAAGTTCAAGCCTTGGGACGTCACAAAGTGCGGGGCTCCGATAGCCTTCCCCAAGCTCTATTTAAAGATGGTGGATTAAAGCTTGTTAGCGAACTCCAAGCCCTGTTTTCTAAAGTTTGGAACATTAAACAGGTCCCCTCCTCTTGGGGGGAGTCGACTGTTGTCCCCACCTTTAAAAAAGGCCCGCGCAATGATTGCGCCAATCATAGGGATATAAGCCTGATCCCAATAGAGCCAATGCTGTTAGCGTCCATCATTCTTCGTAGATTGTACAAAACGCGTGAGGAGCAGGCTGGGTTTCGTGCTGGTCGTGGATTCATCGATCAAACNCCCTCCGACAACTGCTTGAGCATCGTCATGCGTACCGTAGACCAACAATCATTGTGTTCTTAGACATTCGCGCGGCCTTCGATTCTGTTGATAGAACCGCACTATGGAGGTGTTTGTTGAGGAACGGAGTACCAGAGAATTGTGTGTCGATCCTCAAAGAGTTGTATCGTCATACCTCAGGTCGGGTTAGGGCTTACGGCCAGCTTTCAGCACCCTTCACCGTCTCCAGTGGAGTTCGACAAAGCTGCCTATATCCTCTTTCCTTTTCAACTTCTCTGTAGAGGATGTTCTGCAGGACGCTTTGTCCGGTTTAGCAGACGGGGGAGTCGAACTCCTCCCAGGGAACAGAGTCCTTGACTTAGAATGTGCCGATGACATCGCCTTAATGGGGGGAAATACACAGGCAGTCCAAAACGCTCTGAACCGCTTGGCGATGGAGGTATCCAGATACGGCATGTGCCTTACACCTTCCAAGTTTTGAGTGCTTATTGGAGNCTATCAGGAGCTTGTGTCTGCACTCACCCTCTGTGATGACCAGCTGGAAGTATCTGAGAGTTTTAAGTACCTTTGGAACTTGACCGCAGCTGGTGGTGGTGTGTAGAAGATCACATCACGAATAGCGAAGGCTAGAGCAGCTTTCGCCAACCTGAGGCACCTGTAGCGCCGCCATGACATCCGATTTTCCCTTAAGGGAAGAGTGTNCGTTGCTCGTGTCTTATCGGAACATCGGGTGAGTAATGACGAAATTCGTCGTCGTGTTTTGGGTGCAAATAGCCGTTCTATGATATAAGAAATCATTTTACACCGCCCCCCGATGGCTCGGTCGTGTTTTGCGTATGTCTGCCCATCGACTACCTTTCCGTGCTTTCCTTGCACGTAACGGGCAAGGCTGGAAGAAGCTTCGCGGCGTTCAGACCATGACATGGTGTAGAGGTATGAAGAAGCTTCAGCATTTGCTTCGGTTGTTGCAGCTCACCTTCCAGACTGGGGCCAAAGGGATGAGGATTGCCGATAGTTAGATGGGCCTAGCTTGTGTTCACGTCTTGTAACGAGTCGTGACTTTTATGCTCGCTGCGCGCCTACGGGATAGACCCAGTTAAGTCAAGAAGACGCAGAGAATTAGTGGAAATCTGAGGGGCTACGACAGGGCATGTCAGATCACAACTCTCTAAGCTAGCAGAGTGCAAATAATTCTGGATAAGCACCTGGTGTTGGTTGATGTTGTCAATTGCGTTTGGTTCCTGCTTGGCGGCTAGGGCGTTTTGAAAGACGGTTAAGCAAGTTGGTTGAAATAGTTTATAATTGTCTAACCGTCGCGATTGTGCATTTGGGACGGCCAACGAAGCATAGGGACAGCTTGGTGCAGAATAATGAGCGGCCGAATTCGACGGGAGAGTCCCAGTACAATCGGCAGTCTTTTATGCAACTCACATTCATAGATTACGACGATATGGTCACTCTAGGTCCGGCGCTGAAAATGAGTGGGCCACAAGTGGTGTACCGGAAACGGGATCAACGGAAGTTTGCATGGAGAGAAATAGGTGATGATTGGAGCCTAAAACTAACAGTAGTTCTCGATTTTCTGGGTAACAAGAATCTAACCATAAAGGATACAGATGCACGTTACTTGAAGACAGCCGACCTACTCCAGCACTTACACATCCATCTAAAATCACGATACCAGCCCGAATCGCTTTCTACCGAAAGTCGTGTAGATTTTGACAAGAGATGTAATTCCATTTCGTCTGTTCGCCGAGCTTGGCAATTTATTTGCAAACGTTTCATCACCAGCCGAGGTAACATCATCAGTGCCTGTGAAGTGGCAATGATGATGTCACCTCGGCTGGTGATGAAACGTTTGCAAATAAATTGCCAAGCTCGGCGAACAGGCGAAATGGAATTCAGTTCAATCGAGCTACGAGAACCAATTTTCAGTATTTTGTCAACAGAGATGTATTTGCTTGCCTCTGGGTTAGAGTACGCTGAGATGACAAACATGCCACGAGGTACAACGTTGACGACTGCTTACTGTGCACCAGTTTTCACGGCTCATTGCAAACAAATGTCTGTCGCCAGGGATTCAATCTGGCAGCACAGTTTCAGCTCCCCCGTTGAGAGCCACGCCAATGCCAGCAAGACCAGAAGCCGCAGGCTGCGGGTACCCGGAAAAGCAAAGCGGATTGGTTTGATGGGAACGTCAATTGGAGGATGGAGCGAGAGTCTTGAATGGGAGTCTTTCGAAACAATGAGTAGATATTTCTTCCAAAAGACGGTTTTCTCGAGGCAAATCCAAACGTCTCTCATCCATGACAACGTGGTGCATATTTCCACCAGTAAGAAACAGGTTTTCCAGGCGTTTTCGAGTCAAATGTTACAATGCAACTAAGACGTGCAGCAATCAATCACTGAATAACCTACGGGTAAGTTTCCCAGTATGGTCATGTTAAGCTGTGATGAAAAAGCGGTTTTGGCCACCGTCGCATTGCTCTCATGGTCGCATATTCGAACCCCACCGCGGATCCCCAGCTTTACATTTTCATTGGTGGTGGTCAAGTGGTTACGGTTATCGTCATTATCTGGTTTTGGATCTTGAGATTCGAACTGTCATCAACAAAAAACTTTAGTGATAGACGGTTCGGGTCGAAATCATTTATTCAAGTGAGGTGTTGTCGTATGGTATATAAAATCCTGGGGCTAAGGTTGCCGATTATCATGAGTGAACATCAGGTTTATCTACAATTGCATGTAATTTAAAAGAGGTCCGATCAAAGGAGGAAATGGAGTGAAGATTATTTCTTGACTTTCCCGTTATTCTGTTTTTGGGGGAGCCAAGAAACAAACCCATAGAAATGGAGCGATGAGTTGTGGATGAAAATTAAAGTGTTCTCGATTAATGTAAAGACTACTAATTTTGCTTGGAAAAATACAAAATTTTCAGGTTGTTATACGTTATCCAGGAGAGTACAATAGTGGGGGTGATCACCAACGAGTAGCATTGCAATATTGTGCGAACTGCAACAACTCACGTTGAACACTTTTCTTCACTGGCAAAGTACGAATGGGTGAGCTTATTTTGACAGAGTTATTGCTTTCTTTTTCCTCAGTGGATTGCAGTTCACTTAAGTTTACAGACACTTGGCGTTTCGTGCTCGGTTGATCTCCGGGGCCAGATTCGGAAACCTGATGAAGTTCCGAGGTGTCCTCTGATCCCTGATGTCTGTCAGATTCCCCAGTAGCAGTTGCACAATGCTGCACATGGTCAATATCACTGCTTGCTACGGAACCATTGTCTGCGTCCAGTTCCACTTGATTGGAATAATCAGACAATGTGGAAGACGGTTTCTCGGCCGATTCGTTCTCAAACGGGGGACTCTGAACCGGTACCAATCCGCCATCGTGTTGCACTGAGAGAGGACTGCGGGGCTTGTGATCGTCCGCATTGACCAAATAATCTTCCTCCTCACAGTCACTACCAGAAACAGTGTGGTTAAACGATGGTTTCACCAGCGACATAGTGGTACGAAATGGGAGTTTGAAGCTGCAAATAACAGGACAGAAATCGAATAAAGCACGAACACAAGGTGATTAAAAATAACTGAAATGGCTCTTCGGTAAGATAAAAATTCGCAAACCATTTTCATTTAATCGATCTCGGGGGGCTGTATATATTTCTCGAGAAGACGCAGGGGCGTGTACGACTGATTGCAGCGAGTGCAATTCGGTTTTATGTAAATTCAGCAGTCTAGAACGCTGCAAACATGTTGCCAGCCCTATGAGCGGGGAACATAACATATAATAGTCGTTGATGCATGCCACAGCGAACAGCACATGAAAAATACTTGATAAGAATAATGCTAGTGTATTTTTGTCTTCCGTGGTGAGGTTCGAAAGACCTTGCAACTGTTTAGTTAGAAATACTGCGGGACATGACAGCGAACCGGAGAGAGTGGTATTCTTGTTGTTTCATATCAGACCAGCATGTTAGAACAGTGGGTGTACGCACAGTTTGACTGTATACCTTGTGTATTGACCACAGAGATTCACTTGCGTTTCCCTTCACTCAAAACCGGTCCAGTTCCAATTACACTTACAAACTATGGCTTTGCGCACAATGTGAGCTTTTCTCTGGTCTGCGAAAGTCGCTTTGTTGTGGTGCACTGTACACTGATACCGATGACGGTGGCATCACCGGTAATCCTGTTCCCGAAAATCCTTATGGATCACTGAGGTCCGCGACAAATAGCAGAAATTAAACAAGCTCCTTGAGTGACAATCCCAACATAGTGAGGAATACAAAGCATTCCGATTCATACACGGTAGGAGTGAAGGTGTGTAAAGCTTCATTGTTTCTCAAGTATACACAGACATTCATAGAGACCCACAAAACTGGTGCATAACAATCAGATTTCGGAATCTAGATAAAAATAAGATTGACACTCGCTAAGTGAATAGCATGACGACAGTTAATTCAAACGCCCAAACTCTCCTGATCGACGGACAAACTCGTTTGTACATACGATGATGACAGCAAATGACTAATACTGACCATGAGCCGCGCTCATATGGGTGGATTTTAGTCGTTACATCACCGCCGATATCATAGTACAGTCAGATGGGTGGTGATGGCGCAGTGGCTTAGTCGCTGACATCGGCGTATCTTGTCCGAGATTCGAGCCCCGCAGCCGCCACATAACTTTGGTAGTAGGCAGCATTGCTATCGTCCGGATACATTCGCACCCAACCTAGCGCGGCCTTATGTGGTTCGCCACCCCAAGTCCCGGGGCTTAGGTTACTGGCTTTCATCACTGACTTAGGGGTCCACCCCATCTGATGTTCATCATACAAATGTGTCATTAAAAAATGATACAGACATCATTGTGCAGTTTTAGGAATCATCATCATCATCGTAAGGGAGATGCAGTGAAGCGAACTTCACTGATCACTGCCAAACTCGCAATGTACACAAAGTGATAAAGTACAAGATGGAGAGGGACTGCATCTAATGGGAGAGTAGAAAAGGTGAATCTCTCTCGTCAACACAGTGCCAAACCTAACTGTGCATTTGGCATTTGCCAACTTGAGACATTTGTGGCGCCGTCGCGACATCCGGCTGTCTGTGAAGGGCCGAGTGTATGCTGCAGCAGTTCGGCCAGTCCTGCTCTACGGTGCAGAGACTTGGCCACTAAAGGAACAGGATAAAAATAGATTGTCAGTGTTCGAACACCGCTGTCTACGTAGCATTGCACGTGTCTGGTGGGGTAACCGGACCAGCAATGCTGAGGTTAGGCGTAGAGTTTGAGGCAGTCGCGGTCGTCCACTGGAACAAGTGATCGACCTCCATACATTACGCTGGCTGGGACATGTGCTACGCATGTCACCAGATAGGTTGCCACGGCGAACGATGTTTGCCAAGGCTGGTAGCGAATGGAAAAAAACGAAGGGCGGTCACACTAAGACCTGGCATGAGGGTATGAAAATCCTAACCAAGAGACTAGGTCACATAGGCCCCGTTAGGCTCCCTGGATGGGGATTTCGGGATGATGGTCACCGATGGTTAGCTACACTGAGTGATATGGCTGGGTGTTGCAAACAGTGGCGCTCGTGCATCCACTCGTTATTTTCCTAACACCACTCTATATGAATTCCCCATCTTCCACTTGAATTTGCTCCGACATTCCAATCTTCATTTCGCTCTTTTATCCAAATGGGCAACCAAAAGACAGCAACCAAAACCGGCGCACGAAAGTGCATGGTTAATGGCTGTAAAAACTGAAAACTGAAGCTGTGCATACATATCTTCCCAGGCATTCTGATTTGACAAGAAATAACAGCAGGATCGCCACTGCTGTCGGTTTTCTGCCATGACCTACAGTGCCTCTAACCAACCAGTTGCATGGTCTTTTGGACCTCAACGTGGAACATGGGAGTTACCTACTCTACATAATCGCTCGGTGCGTTTCCTCATGACTCGTTCGCACGTCATCTGTTGGCCTTCAAGTGGTGCCTCCCAACCTGCAGCCGCAACTGTGAATAAGGTGCGATGTAGTAGACGACGGCTGGGCGTGCGCAATACGTGTCCTAGCCAGTGAAGCCACCTAATCTCAATTCGACGGAACAACCAATTCTCCATCTAATCACTACCATCTACGCAATGGCTTACCTCAGAGTTGATTACACGCTTGCTCCATCCAACCCGCGCCAAACTACGCAAACATCGGTTACTTCCATAACTATGATACCGTTATTTGTCACGCAACTTACTAACTAGGAGAAACAATCCATTATCAGACATCACAGTCGGGGTAGACGACACAATCTTGTACCAAGAATATGCATTTTGAAGGTGCAAAGTTCATTCCAAATGGAGGTACAGAGCTTGAAAGTTTGTCAAGAGCGCTTCGCACATCCTCCATACATGCAAACAGACAAACTATGTCGTCAGCGGACTCTAAATCGAAGAGCTTCTCTCCAGCTACTCACTCAATACCTGCATTTTGGAGACCACCTAGTGCACTCTTCGGTATTTTTTCTACAAAACAGAATAGGGCACCCTTGACGAACACCGCTCTGGGTTTCGAGCGATTTACTTAGCCCACCGTAGACTCTTACGCTACCAGAAGTATGCGGGTTTGCATACTTCCGCGGTATCCTTTACGAATCACCTACGAGCTTCACGGTAAACGGAAAAGACTGTTCCTTTTGGGTCGGGGAACACTGTGACTGTCGATCGACGTTGTGTGCGATATCATTCGAATACCTGAAGTAGAGTGAACATTTGATCGATGCTACCGCGAACTGGTCGGAATCTCGCTCACCGTTCGCGGATATTCATCCAACTTGGGGGTGTAAGGCGGCGAGTTATTAAAGAAGTCCACACTTGTGTGATGATCGAAACTAAACTAATCCCGCGGTGGTTGATGCAGTCGATGTATGCTCTCTTCTTGAAGATCGAACTGATCGAAGATTAGGCCCAGGGTGAAGGGACACTCCTTCGGTCAGATGCTGCTACTAATCGAGTCATCATGAACATCATCATTGTACAGCGTGATACAGTGAGACGAACTTTACTGATCACCAAAATCATACAAAGTAAGTGAGAATGTGTAAGGAGGATAGGAATTGGACCTATTTTTAGGAACGGGAAACGAAAACGAACCTATATAATCAACACACAGAGTACACAGCCCGACTGTGCACGCATACAATTTCAAGCATTCTGGTCTGATAAGAAATGATACCATGATCGCCATTGCTGTCGGTTCGCAGCCATGATCTTCAGTGTCTCCAACCATGCGGTTTCAGAGTCTTTTGGACCCCAAACCGGAAGATCAGAGACACCTACTCTACCTAATCCCTCTGTGCATTTCTTTATGCCTCGTCTGCTGGCCTCCACGTGGCTTCCTACAGCCTGCAACAGCCACTGCAAACAAGGCGCGCTGCGGTAGGCGACCGTCGAACACACGCAAAACATGCCCCAACTAACGAAGCCTACTGAGTTG